CCGCCCGGACTTAATGTGAGTAACTGGGTGTTTTGAATAACTGGGGAGAGCAGAATGCTAGTGATATTTGGAACTAATAGTATGGAGACTGAGATAAATGCATTTGTGACTTGAGGACAAATGGATTGATGTGAATTCAATTAAGCTTGATAGAAGCTAACGTATGGTGATTCATCAGCAGAGTGGAAGGTCATAATAGCTTGATGAACATGAAGATAAATATGTTGTCATTTTTCCTTCTGGATGATTTGGCAGAATTAAGCTTTAAATTGGTACTGACTGGAAAGCATTATTGACTGACAGCTCTTTTCTCTGTGTGGTTAGTCAGGAATAGCTCATAGCTTCAGTTCAATTTCTCATGAGCAAGTCTCTACACAGCCCTTTATAAATCTCCTGTTTAAAAGTAACTCTTTTTAAAGACTTTTTGGCTGCTCTTTTTAGAAGTAGTGTCCCATAGTCTAAATAGAAATGTTACTACTGTTTTTGTACCAACATGCTGGTTGGATGGATGAGAGGCTTCCTCTTACATGATATATTGGGTGAAACAGTGCCCAGATACTAGAATGGGAAAACACTGACTGGGAGAAGTAACAGGAGCAAAGACTCTGGTACTTTAACTGAAATCTGAAATGGCTTCAGCTTTCCAAAGAGTCATTAGAAAAACTAAATGCTAGAGCTGTATTGAAAGACATAATCCAATAGAAAGCATGCTGAAAAATCACTTGGTTATTCCCTTCCATGTCCACTGAATTGCTTCTCTAGTGGTGTACTCAAGTTAACCTTTCTTACTCTGTTTAATAGCTATATAGCTTGTGGAGAGTTCAAAGAGCTTTTAAAATAGTTTGTATAACTCTCTACAAGCTTTGGCAAAAGCCAGTAGAACTAAATGTGGATCAGGCAAGAAAAAAAGAGGACAAAAGTGATTAATTTAGTTCCCAGACAAAAAAGATTTTGGAGAAATCACCACAGTCTTCCAGCAAAGGAGGAAGTGAAGATACGTTTCAGAGGATAATAAAGTTTTTAAGAAGAAAAATCTGGGTTTGGAGGAGGAGCAAAAAATGAAAAAGGAACACATTTGAGCCAAAGTTCACCATAATTAAGTAGCAATATAAAAAGGTTGCTGGCAAATAAATTGCAGAAATTTTGGAGGAGAAAAGGAGATTAATCCCTGAGTTCTTTCAGAAGACTACTTGATCCAGTGCATGCTGTCTTTTTGCCATTTGCAGAGACTTTGATTCTTTGGATGAGCACAACGTGGAGAAGAATAACCAGCTGGCCTTTGACATAGCTGAAAAAGAGTTTGGAATATCTCCCATTATGACTGGAAAGGAAATGGCATCTGTTGGAGAGCCAGATAAACTGTCGATGGTGATGTACCTCACGCAGTTCTATGAGATGTTCAAAGACACCATCCCCTCTAGCGGTAAGGAGTTTGGGGCAGGTCTCTCAGCTTCAGGATGAATGTGTGTGCTTCAGTTCATGCTTCTTCTGTGTAAGCTCATACCAGTCCCACAACTAAATTTACATTACAAAAGTTGACTTCTTATTGGAGCTGATAAAAACCATATTGGCAGCATCCAGAGGAAAAAAAATAAGTTAATACAAAATATGTTCTCAAACTAATGTCCCCAAAAGTTCTAAACTCACTTCAACACTACTAGGTAACTTTTCTGCTGTCTTGCTATTATTAGGGGTTCATCTGTCTTGGCTAATGTGAGCTGCCTTGTTTAGTAGGTAATTTCAAAATGCTGGCCAAGTTTTATATCTCTTTACCATCCATGAGTGGTGAGAGTAACTTCAGGCCAATGAGGAATGCAAGATCTTTGATTAAGGGCAGTTAGTGACAAAACAAGGGGAAATGGGTTTAAGCTGAAAGAGGGGAGGTTTAGATCAGATATTAGGAAGAAGTTCTTCATTGTGAGGGTGGTCAGACACTGGCCCAGGTTGCCCAGAGAAGCTGTGGCTGCTCCTCCCTGGAAGGGCTGAAGACCAGGTTGGATGAGGCTTTGAGCAACCTGGTCTAGTGGAAGGTGTCCCTGCTGCTGGCAGGGGGGTTGGAACTGGATGAGCTTTAAGGTCCCTTCCAACCCAAACCAGTCTGTGATTCTATGATTAGAAGTGAAAGATGTAATTGCTTAACACAAATCAATATGGCCTCCCTTTAAATATTAATCATTTTGTTATAGCTGTTTCTTTATTACTGCTGAGAAAAATAGTGTTTAATAGCCTTTTAAAAATATAGTATGTTGCAGGTATTATTTTCACAACTTGTTAAGAATGCTGATGATCATTATACTCTTTAAATATTAAAGTCAATAGAGAAAACAAACACAGTATTTATTCTGGGTGGTTATAAACCCTGAAAGGAGAATTAATTTTGGCAAAATGAAAAAGCAGAGTAGCTGAGAAGGGTATTCATTCTGGACATTGCAATCATTTTGTACAGAGAATTTAAGAAAAAGTGTGTTATGTTAAAAAAAAAACCAATCAGTGAGTCCTTCAGTTGTGTGTTTAATAATAACACCACAGACATAAATTCTCAGCATTTCCTTGTCCTACTTGTTTTTGTTAACAGATAGTCTGGACCTGAATGCAGAAGAAAAAGCTGCCCTAATTGCCAGTACCAAATCACCCATCTCTTTTCTCAGTAAGCTGGGACAAAGCATCTCTCGGAAACGCACTCCGAAGGTAACCAACCGTACCACAGTCCTGGTAACACCTGTGGCTGTTGGGCTGCTGTCCAAGGAGGTTGTACTAAATGTGGAAGGGTCTATCTGCTGTCTGTTTATGAAAGACCATGACATTTATAACTGCAGAATTAAATCTAGAATACTTCCTCTCAATTAGTGGTATATTTAAATCTTAAAATCCTCGCCTTGTGGTATGATTTGGGGTTATATTTCTATTGCAACATAAGGGGATGCTCAGGTCCCAGTTAGTTGAAAGTGTTGAAGAGTGTCCAGTTTGAAGGTCAGAATCCTCTTAAACAAATGGAGACTGAGCCCATGGCATTAATAAGTTGTGTTGCGAAGCTTATTCACGTGCAGTGATGACATTTATCTCGGGCCAGAAAGGTGTGAAAAACCTTATCTTTGTTTTTTTTTCCCCTCCTCCTTCCATTTTCAGGACAAAAAAGAAAAGGAACTGGATGGTGCAGGAAAGAGGAGAAAAACCAGCCAATCTGAGGATGTAAGTATTACAGTGAGGAAGGTGTCTGGGAGGGAAACACATAGTAGGTTCCTTGTTCACACTTTAGTCTTTTCATTTTCTATATTCAGACAGAGTTAATGTAAGTTTTTAGTGTTGTTTTGTAGATCAAAATGAATTATTCTTCAGAGGTTGCACTTTGACATAGCTATAATGCAAATATTTTACTGATGCTTATGAAAGAATAGTATGCAACAAATGAAATGTTGCAGTTCCCTCATATTCTGTTTTTACTGCAGTTTACTTTGATTTGATGAGGACACCAAGAATAAAACTTTCCTTTAGTAAAGTCATGCAGTATAGTTAGAATTTTCATTCATATTTAAACTTTAGCCTTGGTTAGTGCAAAGAGAATACATTTCTAGTGTGCCCCATGAAGCAGTCCTTCACTTGAAATGTTTATAGCTAAATGGGTACAAGTCAATTAAAATCATAGAATCATAGAATAGTTTGGTTGGAAAAGACCATTACAATCATCTAGTCCAACTGTCAACCCAGCATTGCCAAGCTCACCACTAAACCATGTCCCTGAGCACCACATCTACACGTCCTTTAAATATCTCCAGGGATGGTGACTCCACCACTTCCCTGGGCAACCTGTTCCAATATTTGACAACCCTTCCAGTGAAGAATTTTTTCCTAATATCCAACTCTTCATCTTGGCAGGACAGTGCAGAATTTGTGTAGTTACTCTTTGCCTTTGAATTCAGAATTCAAAACTGTTTAATACACATTTTGGCAGGAGGGTTGGACTAGATGATCTCCTGAGGTCCCTTCCAACCCCCATCATTCTCTGATTCTGATTCTGTGTGATTCTAAACCTCCCCTGGCACAACTTAACGCTGCTCCCTCTTGTCCTTTCACTTGTTATTTGGGAGAAGAAATCTAGTGCTCAGAGTTGTTTATAAAGGTTTGAAGATAGGCCTTTGCTTTGTGTCAGTGGCTTCATGGGAGTGTTTCAACTGTTGTCTCTTTGGTAGGTAAGTGTATCAAATAAGGTTCCTGTGCAACCTGGTGGAGGGAACCTGCTTTGGCAGGGGGTTTGGACTGGATGATCTCCTGAGGTCTCTTCCAACCCCACCAGTCTGTGATTCTGTGAAGGCTGAAAAGATAAGTAAAGTTTAACAGAACTTTTGATGACATGCTAAAGGAAATTTAAATGTGAGCTTTCAAGTGCAGACTAATAGATTTATTTTCTACAGTATTAGAAACCTATCACAACAAAGAGGTAAGAGGAAAAGGTGATCTGGGTGCATCTGGTTAAACTTTGGTGTCACTGATTGCTAGGAGGACGTCCCACGAAGCTACAGAGAAGAAAGGCCCACGCTGGTGAGTGCCCTGACAGAGAGGAGAATTGATGCTGCCATTGGGAATCAGAACAAAGTCAAGTCTATGGCAACCCAGCTGCTGGCCAAGTTTGAGGAGAATGCACCAGTGCAGTCCTCAAGCTTACGAAGACAGGTAGGAGATGGGTAATAAACCCCTTTATTTTGGAATTATGGAGGAAAATCATTAATAATAACATGCATTCCTTTAGACAGGATGCTAGCAGTGCTCTTTTACTTCAGAGACTTTCCTAGGGAAGAGTGAAGCTTACTGAAAAGAGGAAAAATTTTAAATTTAGGAGTTTGGGATAGAGAAGAACCTCCTAATAAAACTCTATTGCCTGTATTATGTTACATAAACTCTTTCAAAAACATCTTGCCAGCAATTAGGTTTCTTTTATAACCGCTATTGCTGTTGAAAAGCTTTCCAGGAACATCCCATTTCTAATGTTTAAGAACTATCATTTAATGATATTTCATTAAACAGATTATTTATAAATAAATAATCATATTATTTTTATTATTATTTAAAAATTTTATTTATAAATAAATAATCAGATAATCTGGTTTGAACTTTTTCATGCCAGGTTATATCTGTTTGTTCTCATGAGCTGTGAGTAAGTTTTGTATGTGCATGCAAGTTGCAGCAGATAAATACCTGAGTGTTTCTTTGCACTCAGGATATTTGTGTGTGGCTTCCTGATGCCTGCTGATAACTCAGGATGGTATCTGAACTACTGCAACTGCAGGGTAGTTGGGATGGAGTCACTTCAAGCTCCTGCTAGCAGTGCAGTGTCAGCAGTAGAAGGCTCAGGATGGTTGAAGTGCCTGAGTTCTTCCTCTGCTGCATAGTCTTGTGCCAAGCTCTGTGCTGCCATGGCCAGATGGGGAGTGGGACCTGACCCAGCTGGGTCAAGTATGTCTGTGCTACACTGCACACCAGTGTTACTGGTATAACATAACCTCCAAACGGTGATGCTGATCCCACTCTTTACCAATCAAATGTTTCCTTATCCTCTACATATTGACTGGAATAACCAGGCTGATTTGAAGGAAAATTAAAATAAAGGGAAAGTCCAAAAACATAAGTAGTTTCCCATTTTTGGATGTTTTTTTCCTTTTTATATTTTACTTGCTAAATGAATTCTCCCCTACCCTATTTTTTTTTTTCTTAAATGTTTGTCTGTCTTATTCTGTATCCTCTTCCTTTGGCTTTCTTTGAGTTTCCTTTACTATTTTATCTTTCCTCCTTGATCCCAACCCAATTCCCCTACAACCTGCATGCAGCAACCTGTCCTGCCTTATCAAGAACGTGTTCACAACCAACCATCCAGCAGACGAGAGCAGGGCCGTCTTGCTCCCATACCCCAGTGGAAACAGGTAAAGAAACTGATTCTGAATACATTCCACTACCTGCACCAAACATCACCTATCACTGTCCTGTTTTTAAACCACACCTTTTCTAGCACCTTGTGTGAGTCCAATATTTTAAATAATTTAATTTTTAATAAATAAAATCAATATCTGCCTTTGGCAATGATGCATGTTTTAATGTTTCAAAAGGACTTAGTTAAATTTTCCCTGCCCTCTTATGGTAGTTTCAATTTCCCAGGGTTTCTGTGGATGTTTGAGCAGAACCCTTGCCTACAGATGCAACCTGGTGTAGATCTTTTATCCTTTGGATTAATTCTAGATTTTTCTTTTAGAAAAAAATTGAAAATATGTAAGCAATTACAACAACCAGTGAGGTTAAAGGTGTCACACCAGCTGTGATATTAAAGCTCTTCCTTAGTATGAATAACAAAATTGTTTCCATTTTGCTGTTCACATGTGAAGTTTTACATGTTCTGCAGTTACAGGTGACTTTACTGCGGTTTCCTTTTCTCTGTGACAAATGGAGATGTCCTTGCCACTTTCTCACAGTCATTGCATTACAGGCTCCTGTATTACTGTGAATTAAGTCAATTTTAGATTTATCTGCCATAAAGCAGATCAAAATAGGGATCAACAGCAGAAAAATCAGCAGGTACCAACTGTGAACTTGTCTCGTGTGTTTTGGCCCCAGTGTCATTGCCGGTGGCTTTGTTTTTGGCAGTGCACTTTGAAAAGCGAGGCTTGTGACAGACAATCTTTTCAGGCAGTCAGGGATACTGATCTCACTGGCTTCTTCTTGCTTCCCTCCACAAACGGCTTCCTCATGTTTCTTGGAATGCTGAGGTACATTTTGCTGGCATCCATAATTTGGAGAAACATCTGCTTCTTCCTGGTTGCAGTTTAATCAGTGCATACTTTGGAGTCAAGAGGAAGAAGATGACGCTAGTTTGGAAATTCACTGTGCTCCATGTTTATGGATTCAAGGTGAACTTCAAGGCATTCAGCACAGTTCATGCTTTGTATCATGAGCAATGCCATGATGTAGAAGATTGCTCTACAAGAAAGAAGACCTAAACCAGGGGAATTGTTGTCAGTAGGACTGTGAAGACATTCGTCAAAATATATCAACGTTTAAGTTTAGGTTTCCTGACTCAGATGTTCTTCATCTACATAACGTCATCAAAATCTTCTTTATAGACTGGTGAGCACTTTCAAGTGGATACACATCAATTGTGATTAAGGCAAATTTAATTTTTTAAGAATACTTTCTTGGTAGGTGGAGAGAACCCAAAGACCTGATGCAGAAGCACGTAATACAGCTCTATAATATTAAGTTAATTGATGAGCGCTGCTTATGTTGCCCCACTAAAAAAGGAACACAACCAGTGTGGTCCAGTTTATCTCAGTTCAGAAGGATGAAGATTTCTGTTTTAGCACTTGGAGAAGATCACATCCCTGCATGCAGCCTTCAGATTTGATTTTTAACCTGCTATTGAAACTTCATGAAAGCTTTATAATTAAGCCTTTACAGTGAAACATATTAAGTTGACAGTAAGTCAATAGTAATTGATTTATTGTCAATCAATAACAAAAACAATAAGAACAATAAGTTCTTATTGTCATCCTTTTGTAATTGATCAAAAAAAAAAAAGGATAAACTTGTGTTTTCTGCTTTTATGATGAGGATTTTCTCCTCACCAGAGAGCAGTTTGTTGTTGTTCTTTTGTTTTTTCTTGCACTACATGGTTTAAAAAAAAAAAGCGGGCAGGAAAAAAATCTCTCTGGTCTCCCTCAAGATTTTTAGCATCTCCTTATAGGCAGCAACAAAGGGCAGATCTTTGAAAAATCTATAACAATTGTACTTTCAGAGGACTTACATTGTTTTAGTCAGCACTGACACTGGTTGCCTTGTGTGGATGAGAAGATTACAGCTGGAGATGATCTTTCCTTGCTAGGCTTTACTGCATCAATGGAAGATGGTTGGTTCTTGGGTTCAGGTTTCATGCTGGATTTTTGCAATACTTTTGCAGTACAGTTGAAATGGAGAAGAATAAAACAAACTGGGTCTCAAGGATGCAAAATCTGCAGGATACAGTAGGATCAAAGAAACAATTGAAACAGTCCCTATTCCAAAGGTTCTTTATTACTTGCCTGGGGAAATGAAGAACATCACTTGTCTTCATTCAGAAGCTATGGGAGTATATAGAATAATTTATTCTTGACTGATCAGAGATCACAGAATGGCCTCGATTGGAAAAGGCCTTTAAGATCATGGAGTCCAATCATGAACCCAACACTGACAAGTCCCCGACTAACCCATGTCCCTCAGCACTGTGTCTACACCACTCTTCAATCCCTCCAGGGATGGGGACTCCACCACTGCCCTGGGCAACCCCTTCCAATGCCTCAGAACCCTTGCAGCAAAGAAATTCCTCCTTGGATCCAGTCTCAACTGCCCTTGGGGCAACTCAGCTGAGGCAGGAAGCCATCCACTGAGCCAAGCAGCCAGCTTTACCAAGCTTACACAGAAATCCATCCTGCAGGAAGCTGTTGCTGAAGCAGTGCTTCAGCTGACTGCTGAGGTTCCTAATTCTGGTTGCTGAGGCATGTGGAATCTGAAAGCTGTGCGACTGTGTTACTGTGGCACTGAAACAACTTTCTGCTGTGACACCGGGCACACTGGGTACACAACTGTTCCTGGGACTGCAGATTGCCAGCAGTGGAGTTGGTGTAGGGTACCAGTCCGTGCTACTGGTGATCCTCTAAAGGATTTGCATTGCTCCTGACAAGCTCTTTAGGGAGGATGGAAAGAGCTGTTCGTGAAGCTGTGGGAAAGGGATGTCTGGTTTGGCATAGGTGTCAGAGTTGATGAGCAGAAACTGGCAGTGACTGTATATGTCACATAGTGAGTCCCCTCTATTGAAGAGTCCTTTGAAGAGGAGCAAAGCAGTTCCTAAGGGGGCAAAGTGGTGACGTGTCATTCAGGGCAACCACAAGTTGTCTAATGTTCTTGCCAGTAGACAGAATTAAGTTGAGGTCCTCAGGGGTCTATAGAAGGAAAGTTTTGTGTCTTGTGTTTGATAGGTTTGGTCCTGTGTCTTGGAAATTGCGTGCAAAGCAGTAGGAGTGATTGCAAGGCATGAACCACGCAGTTGCAAAGGATGTGGTCTGGGTTGGACCCCCAGTTTTAAACTAAATTTTAGATCTTCCTTGGGTTATTGCCTGACAGTATCTGTCAGATGGACTTGCTAAGGCAGGATTCCTAGCAAGAATTAAATCTGGGCAGAATCTGTTCCGAAACAGTTCTTACTTCCATCAGAAGACCTTTAATGCTGTTTCTCTTGGAAAGGGAAAACCTTCAAAAGATCAAGCAGGTTTAAAAACCTCACCCATCTGCTGCTCGCAGCATTCTGTGTGGCCTGCATTTTCCTCATGAACTGGATTACAAAGTTTGCTTTATTGAGCTACAGGTTGTGAAAGTTGATCTGTGTTGTCAGAACTGGGTTCATGCTACTATGGGCGCCTCAGCAGCAGCTAGTAGTAAAGAGCAGTAGTAAAGATACTGTTAAGTGTACGTGCACAGTGGAAATGTGTCTCATTTTTTTTATGTGGTGGTAATATCTCCTAAAAAGATGGATTGTGTTTCACGGTGTGGTGGTTAATCTCCTCAAATGAAGGCCTACATGCATAAAAACACTTTCCATGGTGTGTTTTATTGCTTTCCAAGTCATTTTGGATGCTTTTGGGAAAGAGCATCTTATCAGGGATCATGATGCCATTGAAAAGCCATGTGGTCTATCCAGAAGAGGATCTGACTCTTTGGGTATGGTATGGGAGACGAACCTTTTAATCTTAATTTTGTCCTGGCTTTCCAGACTCTCAGCTTACAGCCTTCAGCAGTTTTCTGCTATAGTTTCATAGGTCTCCTGACAGCAACAAGGTATGTGTGTAATACATAAGCTTAAATCACTGATGTGTGCAAAGATGCTTGTGAGATGGAGATCACATGTCTTTTGGTGCAAACCTCTCCTGCCTCTGGAGGTCTGATGCTTGTTCTTTTGAGGTGATCCTCTGAAGCGTGGTGAAGGTGCAGCAGTACAAACTCTTTGCAGTAATTCTGTTGGAACTGTGGTTTTTAAGATACACAACAACTGAGTTGACCACAGTCAGCAGGAGCTGAAATCTTAACTTACAACACCAATGATTTCTGCCAATATTGTTTTTCCTACTTAATTTCTTATTGAAATATGTTGATATATCTTTCCTCTTTCCTATAGTCACTTTTGTCTTTGCATGCTCAGCAATGCCTCCTACCAGAGGACTGAACAGATACTTCATATACCTGTACAGTGTCATGTTCTGAGATCTGCCATGGAACAACATACGAGTTTGTGAAGATGTTGAAATTTGAAATGCAAACTCAGCCCATGGTCAGATGAAAGTCCCTGAGCAGCTGTAGTGGTTGGAAATGTTATTACCCTTTCAGCTAGAAATTAGTGACTTCACAGCTGAGCCTTTTGAAACAGCATATATAAATGTTCCTCATCCACTTTAGTGCAATGTCATGTGCTTTAGCTTAAGCTGCTTGTAGCATCTGTTTGAATTAGAGGAGTTGATGATTTTTTTTTTAAAGGGCAGACAACACTTAAGCAGATGTTAGTGCCAGCTCAGCTGTAAGGGCAGTGAAGAAAACCTGTAATATCTTTAAACATCATGCTTTTTCCTTGGAGGCTGTCTAGCAGTAGCTTTGTATACATAGCATTATTTTTTTTTCTCAGTGCAACCATTTCCAGATATGCTCTGGTGAGAACTCAAAAGGAAAATCAGGCAGAAGCTACATTAATAATTAAAAAGTGGTGGAGAAAAGGCTGCACATAGTAGGGAGGTGCAGAACTAGAAAAGCATGTTTTCTGGCATAGTAAAATGAAGACAGGTATGTGCATTGTGGAATATTCAGACTGTTCACTACGTCTGCATGTTAGCTGTAAACCAGCTGTATTTCTGTTGTCGTAGAATGTTGGAGTACAGTTTAATTTGCCTGAGATGGTTTAATATCTGTAAGTTAAAGAGAAGGGATCTGAAGCTGAGAACTGAACACTGTGACTTGAGTTGTATCGCTAATGAACTGCAAGCAACAGTAATGAGGTCAGTGGGATGGTAACGCTGCAAGGCACAGCAATAAGTGGGTTTTTCATGAAACAAAGAGAGCAGTCCAGCTGGGTTATGGAGAATTCCAAGTGGTACCTTTTACTGATGGTAAGACCTTGAGTCAGAAACTCAACTGATGGTTGGTGTAAGTACATATTGGCCACCCTTAGAAATATCCGTCAAAGGGATGTGGGATTGTGTGCTGATGGGTGAAAAACCTCAAGCTTTCAGCTTCAGATAAAATGTGGCTTTAGGTCATTTGTGAGAGAAGTGAGCTTAGGATCATGTGCTCTGACCTGTCTCACCAAAGTCAATGGTAATGTTATCTCTTTTCTACCATTATTATGATTTTTTTTTTTCCTTTTTCTGTTTTTAAAAAAAAGCTGAGGAGTAAGGAACGTTGTCGGACCTGCCCCAAAAAAGTGATCATGCTTTCTTCTTCCACTCCACCTTCCTCTCCACCGTATCCCAGGCAGCAGGTGATTCCCTCTGCATGCTCTGTCCCTCTCTCTTCATTACTTGCTTGTACAAGTGACTAGATCAGTTACTGGATATCCCATTTACCAAATGCATTTCTAAATTTCTTTTTTCAGATGAAGATAGGGCTTCGTCAGCCTCTTAAAGTAGGAGCAGAGGTTGGTGTTAGCTCACCAGAAGCATGATTATGTGATGCACTGGAGACTCAGAGATTTTACTGTAGGGTAATTTGTAATGACAGTAGCCTTTTCCAGTTTTGAATTGCAGCAAACTAGAAATTAAATGTTTGGAGTAGTGCAGGGAAAGAAAATGGAACTTTTCTCCGTCTCCACTCTTCATTTAAACAAGTGTGAAAGTTTGCCCTTGAATTCATTAAACTCTTTCAGGATTACTTGTCTGAAGTGCCTTTTTAGAGTGTTGTAGTGGCCTGCACATGTCCAATGTGGTCTTTCTGTGTTCTCCGCACCCAAGTCTTTGTCTCACTGAGTTTGAATTTGGAGCAGTGAGACAACTGTTCTGAACAGAGTGTATATATGTGCCTCCAGATATTTGTGCAGATGTTTGTTGTCCTTCTAGTTAAATATTACCTGAAATCCTTTAATATTTGTGTCTTGTACATGGTCATCGTGCTTCTTTGAGTGGTATCTTTTACATTTTTCTTTTGTTTTCCTACTGCAGTAATAAATTCCACTCTGCTGGTCAATCCTGAACTAACCTTGAGGTGATAAAAAGGCAGCTGCAGTTCCATACACCTTCCATAACTTTAAACAGGAATTATACAAATAAATTTCCCTATAGGTGGAAAATGTTATTTTTACTGAACACTTGTATGCCTATAAACTCTGTAAAGGCATGTTACCTTTAAGCAGAGTAGACAAGGCTTGGACATAAAATTTGACTTGCCTTATTGCTGTGATTTCTCAGAGTGTTGTTATGTGTTACATTTAATCTGGTTTAGTTGTTGTCAGCCTCTGGAGCAGACATTCTCCACTGCCTCTCTGGTGTCTGGATCTGCAGGACAGGTCAAGTCTGCTTATTGATCTGATTTAAAACTGTCCTACCAGAAAAGTGGTTAGTTTTCTGGCAAACTGTGGACAGCCAGTTCACAGGAATGGATATCTACATAAAATGGATGAGGAAGGCCCTTTCACTAGCAAAACACTCATTTAAACTGAATTGAGTGTCGTGTTTTCAGACAATGGATAGCTAGATACCTTCCTCTTGTCAACATCCTTTGAAAATTTTGACAGATATATTTTATGAGGGCAGAAAAATTTTCTCCAAGCTTACAGATAAAGAAACTAAGGCAGTTAAATGCTGAGTTTTACTTTTTAATCTATGGCATGGGATTCATTTTCCATGAAGAGAAATTTGCTTTCAGTCACTGAGGACCTCTTAGCTCTATATTTTTGCCTCCCTGGCTTCTCCAAGTGTTTGTTTGTCCTGTGTCTTTTTGGTTGCCTAGTTCAGTCATGACAGACAACTACTGCTGGGTCCAAGTGTGCTTTCACCATTTTCTACATTGTGTCCTGTAGGAAACTTCTTTTACATGTCTTCTTGCTCAAACTAATAATAATAATAATAATAATAATAA